ACTGACCACAAAAAAAAAAAAAAAGCCAAGTTGTGGTAGAGCAACAGCCCGCGCGGTGCGGCCGCGTCGCCGTCACATATCCCAGTGGTGGTCCCTGCTCCTCCCCTTCCTCTCCTGCCCCACCCCAACTGCTCCTAGGCTGCCTCTGCACTACAGATGTCATCAATGGGGGCCATCTATACTTTCTAATCATGGGGACAGGTACAGACAGCACTGGCCCTTCCCTGTGCCTTCCTGCTTTAGAGAAAGATGAACTGCCTGAAGCTGTGGCAGGCAGGAGACAGCCATGAAGACAAAGATCAGGCAGCATAGGATGCTGAAGGCAAGAGAGAGCAGGCCAGCCCCAAAGCACTGCTGAAGTAAATCATTTGCCTTCAAGACCCTATAGTGAAAAGGGCAGGCTATTATTTGTTTAAAAACCAATCGTGAGCTTGCGATGGCTTCCAGCTGGACTTTCCAAATATGAAGGCTCAGGACCCGAGAGGGGCCGCTACTGCACCCCCGTGCCGAGGCTACCGCCCCAGGTGCTCTCACAGAGCACCAGGAAGAGGAAAGCACAGCTGTGCGCCTGGAGAAGTGGGGGACCCCTATGGGGACAGCTGTCTCGGGACAGCTCTCCGCAGGAGCAGCGGCAGAGGCTGGCGCCAAGGGACCACAGGGAGGGAAGGACAATGCTGAGATCTGGCGCTATCCTTGTAAACTGGAGATGGAGGAAGCGTTACAAACACGTAATTTAGTAAGAGGCAAACTCCAGAATAGACAAGAAAAACAGAAGTAAAAACACTCAATGAGATATCAAGGCTCATGTTTGTCTCTTTAGACAATCTCCACACATGCGCAGGAGACTCTATGATGGTCAGAGGCAGGAAATAATTACAAATGTCTAAGTGCAGGTGACAGAAGCTGGAAAGACGAGTGGCAACAGAAACGCACGGGAGCGCAGAGCACAACACTTCACTGCTGCCGAGGCAGGAAATAAACGGCAAGGACAACACGAAGTACCCAAGAGGCTACAAAGCACAGAGCAAATACCGCGTGACAACAGCAGTGGTGAACCGGAGGGGAAGCTGGCCCCTCAGAAGAGGCCTTCAGAAGTCACTATCAGGTACAAATAACATCAATTAAAGCTACCAAGTAAGCATGCCTCTTCACTGTCAAAATCTACCTGACTCCTCCTGCCTCCTCTCCCCCACAGTCTCTGTAGCTCAGACAGAACTCATGATCACCCTACTTCAGCTTCCCAAGTGCAGGATTACAGTGCCGGTCAAAACAACAGGCCTGATTTCTCATTTAAGGAAAAGTCACTAATGGCAGTTCTGCTTTTTGCTTGTGTCTTAGCAGAAAGCCCACAGATAACCTAAATAAATGTATCAAGAAAGAAGAGCAGCTACATTTTACCTCCAGATCCTGAGGAATGCATTTGAAGATCACCATTGGTGCCAACACCATGCCAGGAAGGCTAAGGCCAAGAACTATTTCATTAACTAAAAGCCAGCCTTCCACAAAGGATTTTGTAAACCCTGGCATAAAATACTTTGATAAAAACAAAAATACTTATTTTAAAGCCAGGAGCTGGTGGCTCCTGCCTGTAATCCTAAGTATTCAGGTGGCTGAGATCTGAGGATTCCAGTTCAAAGCAGGAACTATGAGACTCTTATCTCCAGTTAACCACCAAAAAGCCAGAAGTGGAGTTGTGGCTCAAGTGGTACAACACTAGCCTTAAGCACAAAAGCTCAGGAACAGTGCCCAGACCCTGAGTTCAAGCCCCAGGACCAGGACAAAATAAACTAACAACAACAACAAAAAAAAAAAAAACCCTAAAATCCAAAAACCTATTTTAGAAAAGAACACTGGGGGTTGGAGGGCATGGCTCAAGTGATACAGTGCTTTCCTAGCAAGCATGAAGCTCTGGATTCAATCCTCTCATACCTAGGGAAGGAGAGCAGACAGGAAGATAGACAAACACACAGACATTGGAAGAAAAGAAACTTGCCGTTTTTCTTTAATTTTCAAATTATAACAAAATGAATACAGGAAGAGTTTGGGGTAACAGATGTGTGTTTTCTCTGGCTGTGATACGCAGTGTTTGTGCTTTTATGAGGCTGTCTTCCACTTGCACCTGCAGTATTTCCATGAGAAGATACGCAGAGCAAGTGGACCTGATGGGCCCAGGACAGCACTGGGCCACTAACAATATGAAAGCTGAGCACCAGCTCTAAAATGTGCATCATCTGTGTTTATGCTCACGCTTGCTCTCTGGAGGCCGTTTGGTCCCATAAGCTGCTTTCTTGCATTATTTTGAATCAATCCCTTTTTCGCTACAGTTGTATTTCCCAATTCTCAGGCCCCGGGTCAGATGGGAAGCAGAGGGATGTTTGCTTCCCCACCCTGGTGCAAACCCAAAGAACAGCAGCAAGGTGCTCAGACACAAACCACTTGCCTGCCTATGTGGATCAGTTCACATGACACACAAGAAAGGATATTAAAATATAATATACACACATATATACACACAAAAAAGAATGATGAATGCTGGTGGGTGACATCTGTAAACCTAGCTACTCATGAGGCTGAGATCGCAGTACAAAGCCAGCCTAGGCAATATAAAGTCCATGAGACTCTCATCTCCAATAAACTACACAGAAAAAGCCAGAAGTACCGTTTTGGCTCAAGTGGTACAGTGCTAGCTAGCCCTTGAGCAAAAATGCTCAGGGACAATGCCCAGGCCTTGAGTTCAAGTTCCCAGACTATCACACAAAAAAATAATTGATTAATTAATTAGTTAATGCTGGCCACTGGTGGCTCATACCTATAAGCCTAGCTACTCAGGAGGCTAAAATCTGAGGATCTCAGTTCAAAGACAGCCAGGGCAGGAAAGTCCATGAGACTCTTACCTCCAATAAAATAACTCAGAAAAGGCCGGAAGTGGCACTGCGGCTCAAGTGGTAGAGTGCTAGCCTTGAGCACAAAAAGGCTTAGGGAATGTGTCCGGGCTCTGAATTCAAGCCCCAGGACCACCAAGGAAGAAGAAAGGAAAAGGCAAACTAAAAGGAGGAAATGAACTTTTTTTGTTGTTGTTTAAAGAACAAACCTAACATCACACAGAAGTGATGTTTCTACAGCAGAGAATAAAATGACTAAAATGAACACTACAATATTAGCTAAGAGCCAATTTTATCATTTTAATTTCCGCTGTTTATGCAAGAGCCTAAGTGAACAATGGCCAATAATAGGGAGTGAGTGGAGAAACACACGGCTGATCTACATTGTAATTAGAAAAAGAAGAAGATAAAAATCAGCCCTAATTATGAAACATATGGTGGAGCGCACACGGCCTTCTATTGGCCACCCGGGTTAACACAGCTCCACATTTATCTACCTCATGAGGAAGGAGTCAATTAAATATTTTTCCCCTCAAAATAAAAAAGATGCATGTAAATCTTTTTTGTTGTTGTTATTGTTGTTGCACTTAATGAAATGAATGGTGTCTTAGGCTGATTAATCCTTAGCAATATATAGCAAACACATGCATTCCTGACAGAGCAGATGCCCAAGCACTAGAAGAAAATGGGGACTGTGACTCATGAGCTGGAAAAGCCTGCCTTCTACGAGAAGGGATGAGGGTGTGTCTCCAAACCAGCTCAGTTCCTCTGAGCTGATGCCGCGTCTTTCCCCGCACCCAAATCAGGCCAATTCTTTGACCTATTACAAACAAAATTCTTTTTTTTTAATTTAATTTTATTTTATTTGTGAACATACTGTACAGAGGGGTTACAGTTGCATGGGCAGGATAATGCGTACATTTCTTACCAAGCATTGCAGCCTCCTCCTTTGTTTACCCTTCACATCCCTTCCCACCCTCCCCCCACAAACAAAATTCTTTTTGCAATCTTCTCCGCTTTTTTGCGAAGAAACACAAAAAGACCGTAGTGCTTTGGGTTTGTAGACAGCCCCAGAGATGCTTGAGGGGAAAGTGAACATCTGCTAATATGAAACTTGATCTTTCCCTTCTTGAACTGAGCAGTCAAGACAAACAGAAGCAAGCAAACAAACAAACTTTGCAGCACGTGCTTCCATTTTCAAGGATAAGGGTTTAAATTTATCAGTCACTCTTATGCAGTGTTCCAAGGAAGGGTTTAACTTACACACATAAAATATTAAACTGTAGACATGTTAATTTTAACTTCTACCAAATAGAATTTCAAATTTTGTTGCTGACTCCTTCAGCATTATCCTCTGATGAAAGGTGAAAAACATAACAAACACATTAAAATTGAATAGGCCCAAAAAGGCCTCAGGAAACTTACTGAGGACCATTCTTGGTTCTTGGATTGAGACTTTCCGGCATTGCAACCAATTGGAATTCACGACCCCCTGGAGGCTACAGAGTATTATACTGACAATCCTTTGCAGGCCACAGGATGGAGGCCCCTTAATTGAAACCGCCTCTTCGATTTCTCTTTAGAATTTGCCATTTAATTCATGTCGAATATTAATTAAAACAACCAAGCAAAATGCTACTTCATTATCCAAGCACCACATGGGCCTTCCAGGTCCTTTCCAGGGTCTAACCAGTGGCCGCTGCCTTGGTTTCTACCATTTGTTTGGTGGTTTGGGTTATGAAACACTACAGAAAAAAAAAAAGAAATTAGAGCAGTAACAAAGACGCTAGTGGAGATGCAGTGTATGGAATTGAAGAAACGACTCCATTTCCCCTCACGTAAATACGTCTGCATTATTTTAACACTACCTTAGAGGAAGAGGCGGCGGAAGCACAGATCTACTCAGTTAGCTTTGTTATTGCTTAGTGTTCAGACTGAAAACGACAGCGGTAAAAAGGGAGGTAGAACAGGGCCACTGGCAGAACGGAGATCATCCCATTCTCACAAATATCATCTCAGCCCCAACACTTGGAGAACCTTCAAAGAAGGTCTTCCTGTAGACCCTCACCCCAAGGAGAACAAAGAACAACACGGCCCCTGGGCTGCCCCGCGCCTCACCTCTAGCTCCTGCTCCCTCTGCAGTGCGAACTGCTTGAAGGACTTGACAATCAGGCCGGCATTGGAGCAGTCATAGACGAAGATGGAAGGGCTGCCCATCCACGTCTGCAGGTCATATATGGACAGAGGGATGTACTGAGTGTAGTTCTGAAAAACAAACAAGGCACAGGTCACACACACGCATCTCCAGGCTTCAAATTCAGACCAGCACCAGCACCTGCACCAGGCAGATGGGGCCTATGGCGCCAGGACAGACGTTCATCACACTAGGCTTTTACACATCGACTTGTGCAGCATCTTATCAGGCAGTGCCGAGGGCCAGACGGCTGTCACGGTGGACAACTGAAGCCCCAGAGCTGCCCTCACAGCAACTAAGTCCATGCCCTCTGCAGCTGTCCCCCCTCACACCCCACTGGGCCAGGTGTCAACTGTAAGTGGGTGCTATTCACACCTCTCGCCCCTCTGCTGCCCCCTTCCCTGCTTCACCTCCATAGGACACGAGCTCTGAGTGGTGGGCAGGCTCTAGGATCCGCGTGCTTTCCACAGCTGCCCATTCTCTAGATAGCTTTTAAAATTCGCCCTGAAGGGACACTGAAGATTTGGCCATATACACTTTTTAAGTTTATAAAAATAATGTATTTTCACTGACCAAGTGGGACTCCTTCCTGGACGCACGCACTTTGTTTTCCTGCAGGTCCTGTGACTGTGGGCAGTGCAGAGAACACCATCATCTCGCGAGAGGCCCTTCAGACCCCCCTCCCTGCCAACGTCTAAAACCACTCTGCACAGAATACCTTCGCTTCCTGCCCTGTCCTCAGAAGTCAGCAGTGTAAGTGGAGGCAAAGGGAGTTGGCTTCCAAGTGGCTGAGCCACAAGTACCACCTCTGGGGTTGTGTCTGGGTTGTTCACAATGTGACCAAGCGAGGCCTGGAGAACCATGGTGTCAAGGTGGCCAGCGGAAGCCTCCCTAAGGTGGACCACAACGTGTCTGGCACAAGTCACTGCCCAGACAGAATGAAGCACTGAGCCATCAGCAGAGAGGAAGGCAGCCGTCGCCGCCGGCATGGCCCAGGACCACGCTCTACGCAGACGCTGCACTGGAAGCTGTGAGGCCTCACCTAGTGAGCTGCTCAGTCATATTCTGTGAGAGAACACCTGGAAATACACCCTGTAAATAAACTCTCCTCGAAGGGTTCTGGAGATGCCAATTCTGCCTAGACGAATCTATACAGGCAACACAAGCCCAATCAAAATGCCCACAGGGTTTTTCCTTTAATGGATTTGACAAGCAGATTCTAAAGTGAATGCAAAAGAGAAATGTACAAGATTAGAGAAAGATTTTTAATAAAGAATAATGGGTAGCGATTCGCACTACCAGACATTAACTACGCTATAAATTTATGGTAATTACAGATTGGTATTAGTGAGGGCGAGACAAACAAATCAACAGAAGAGAAAGCCCAGAAATAGACCCACATACCTAACTGTAATGAGTAGAGGAGGGTTAACAGCTCAGAACTCGATGCCACAAAATGTAGCTAACCATTTGATATTGTCAACTCAGGTTCTGCACACACACAAAAACAGAGTAGATTAAAAGGCAAACTGAAAAGCAGAATAGTTTTATTTTATTGTAAGGAAAGCCTTCTTAGGTCACAAACCTAGGAATCCTAAAGAAGCAGACCAACAGGTCTGTTTTCATCCAACAAACTAAAAAGAAAGACAAATAATATGACAGAGCTGTATTGAACAAGGCACTCACTCATTGTTGGTGGGAGTAGACATTAATGAAACCTACTTTAGAAAAGTCTGGCAGAACTGACAAATATCCAACATGTGCCTTCATTTTGACTTCCCCGGTGTCCATCTCTAGAAACGCGGGTATCTGCACCCAGAGAGTGGTGTCCTGCCAGGTGCGATGGGCAGGTCACGTGGCAGATGCTGCCCTTCTGCCATCGGGCCTCTCACTCCTCCTTACCAGACCAGCGCTGGGAAGCTGTCTCCTCGGCAGCCTCGTCTGCTCTTGCAGCCAAGGTGTGACCAATACAGTGACTGAAACGCCCAAATGCTAAGTGCTGCCCTCAACACCCCAACGGCACAGGGAGGAGTCTGGCCACGCAGAGAACAACAGCCAGGCGGTGGCAGAGCTGCAGGGTGGGAGCAGGCTGAGGCCCAAATGGCTGTCCTGATCCTAACAGAGCCCACACCAAAGAATCAAAGGCACGCGGCCAGGTCCCAGGGTGCAGGTCTCGGCTACTAAGGTAAGGTACGAGCCTCCCTTGAGATCAGGAGCTGGGCAATGTGGAGAAACTTTGCCACAACACAAAACAAAACCAATAAACAATAGGCAAAGTGGGGTCTATGCATACCTATGTTAGCATCCCCGTTCTCCCAACAGCGCTGCGTGTAAACACTCACACAGAGTGAGGTCAGAGGCTTGTTGTAACTCTTACAGTGTAAATCCCAGAACATCATAGATTACGTGGCTCCATTTTGGGTGAGGAAAAGCAGGAGGTGTGAGTGTGACACCACTGTTCACCTCATAAGCACGCAGAGACTGCTCTCCACGGACAGACGGCGTGTTCACCACGCTGGAAGAGTACACACCCAGCTGCTCCGGGATGTTTCCTAGGGGGTCAAGGTGTGGAGAGTGGCTGTTCGTTCATCTCTGTCCTGCAGGAGTCTTTGTGAAGAAGGGGGACTGCAGGGGCCGCGGGGAGGAAGGCAAGGGTGGGTCCTGGGCTCCAGGCGCCCTCTTGGCTCCGGAGTCTGCGGAGTGTGCGATCCTGCAGCTCTGCGCCCGAGGGCGCAGCTCTCCCCAGCAGGGCACACTGCGAGGGAGGGACGCCCTGAACGGCCTCCCTGGCGGAGCCCAAAGCAACCCTGTACTCAGGCAGAAGAAAGGACTGAGAAGCAGCCATCACTCAGTACACTTTCAGGCACTGCTAATGCCCTGTGCCGCGTGTGTGCCTTCTATGGTGTTCTAGGCCCGGGGAAGAATCTGAACGTAGCTCGCCCGGTCCTGAGCCTGGTCATTCAAGCAGCTGCCTGTGACATGACCAACGCCGTCGCCTCTCCCCTTCCTGGTGCAAGCGGACAGGAACCGCGGGCACGGGGAGCAGGAGAAAAAGTTGATACTTTACATTTGCCAAAATCAAGTTACATTTAAATTCCTGAGGCAGAGAGTTACTTAATTGTGGTTCGTTGCACTAATGAAGTACAGGCACATCGGTAATAGCACTGTGGCCTCTCCCTCCCCTGCGGCCCGTGGCGGCTGAGGACAGGGTCCTGCTGGGCCTGGGGACTGGCACCCGCACACTATGTGCGTCCTGAGGTGCACTGTCCTCACCTGGGCAGAGCAATCACGCTACCAACAGGTGCTCCCACAGACAGGCGCTCCGCCACCAACTCCCCCAGACAGGCGGTGTGGTGAGCGGACGGCCAGCCAGCAGTGTCTCTCCCCCTCCACCAAGGGCCGTCCGCACACCCTGCTGCGTCCGTGGCATCTCGGGAGGCATCTCTCCACCCTCCGGGGGTTGTCCTGTACACTACACCACGTCCAGAGGCATCCCTGGGCTTTGCCCTCCATGCCAGAACCCCTCCCTTCCCCCATCCCCACGCAGACACAGGCGTGTGCACGGGGAAACAACCAAGGTCTCCAGGCGCCACCACATGTCCCTGGCAAGGAGGAACCTCCCTGTGTGAGAACCAGTGCCTTGAAAGAGAGACAATTAGGTACATTAGCTGTATCTGTCAAGTTTTGTTAAGACAGCAACAATTCAGATGTCCCTATCCCTTAGGGAGTATTAAGATCAGCTCTATCAAATCACAGTGAGGAGAATGACCTTTGAGAATGAGTCCTTACGAGAACAAGAACATGCAGATTCATAGCTCCTCTCAGAAAGGTCCTGGGTAGTTTGTCAAGCTCCAGGCTGGAGTTATGGTCCTGCAAACTGGCAAAGGGCAGCTGTGAGCCGAGGCTGGCAGTGTGGGACGAGCGCCGGAGGCAGGAGCGGGGCACAGGACCCACACCCACAGAGCAACTGTCCTCCATCCCTGCTGCTCCCAGCGCGAGCGAGCGAGCGAGCGCTGCGCACGGCGCCAGCTCCACACCCACGCAAGACCAGCGCAGAATCCAAATCAAAGCAACTCTCCTTTCTCTTGAGAAAACACACCGAAGGCCATATTTTCATTTCAAACAAAGAAACAAAAATGGGTTTTAGATAATTAATTCATTAAAATCCACTTCATCTGCCAGGTTATAGTTAACATCAGGGGAAAATAATTCACTTGCTGTGCCAACCCCAAGGGCAGCACAGCTGGGAGCGCCCAGCCGTACTCGCCGTTCGTGGGGGGAGGGGAGACCCTCGATGTGCCGGGAGGAGTGGCAGAGCTGGTGCCCGCGGCCTCCCTTGGCTTGACCCAGCCATCACATCACAGGCCCTCACAGGAAGGCCGGCCAAAGACCAGCACTGCGGCTTTGCCTTATTTGATTCACACACTTAAGAGGAAATTCAAAGTAGCCCAACTTACTACTTCCTTTCTTTCTACTCCTTCCCATCATCCTTTGTTCCCTTTCTTTCCGCCCTCCTCCTCTCTCTGCTTTCTTCCCCACCATCCACCCTTCCTCGGGCTCTTCTTCCCTCACCCCGGGGGATTTCGAGAAAGACAGGTGCAGCCTGGGTCAGAGGCTCTTGCTGTGCTGACTGGCTTTTCGCCACACTGCCTCCCCACTTCTTATGCCCACGCCACTGGTTTACACACTTTTTGCTCCAGGCTCCCTCTGCCCCCTTCTATGTGCAAATACAAGTTAGTTGCTTTTGAAATAAAACACGCCTCAAATCAGTCTCTATTTTTTTTTATGGCAAAAACCACATTGCGGAGAAAACTAGAAAAAAGTCTGTTACCCAAGAACATCACCCAAATTCTTAGAAGATTAGCCCATTTTAGTTGCATACAAAGTGACAGGGACACATCAAAAGAACATAGATGTCAGCCTAAAGGAGCTCCCACTAGCCATGCGTGGGATCATCTGAGAATCAAAATATCCTGAAACTTAAAAAAAAAAAAGCCATTATCAAAAGACACCAAAATCAACCTGAAAGAGCTACTGGTGGTCTGAGCTAGAATAATTTAAGCAACAAAAT